GCACCATTTAGGCTGGCTGTTGCAATTCACTAAATTTCATATAGTTTAATGAGTTTTAATTGAGCAGGAATTTAATGAAACATGAAAGAAACAGATTCCTTTGCTCTGTAGCATGGTAAGTAAAGAAATGGCCAAATGGTAGTCTTAATTTCCATAAACTGTATTCATGAGAATAATTTCAGAATACTTGTACCATCTGCAAGTGCAGTGCATGCTGCTGTAATATGCTGCAACAAATGGTCCAATGGAAACCAAGATTAATTCATATTTTCAAAACAGATAAGTGACCAGGGCAGGGAGAAAAGAGTGGGGTGCTTTGTAAGAGGACCTGAGCCCAGATAAATGAAGATTGGGCACTGCTTTCTTCAAATAACCAAAGACACTGTTGTTGAGGTCAGCATTCAGGGGAACTGATAAGCAACTGCCCCCAAGAAAAACATCTGTTAGATCCATGCAATAAAAACATACATAAAGGCAAAGGTTTCCCCTTGACATTAAGTCCAGTCATGCCTGACTCTAGGGGGCGGTGTTCATCTCCGTTTCCTAGCCAAGGGAACCAGCGTTTGTCTGCAGACAGTTTCCATGTTCATGTGGCCAGCATGACTAAGCACCGAAGTGCACAGAACGCTGTTACCTGCCCACTGAAGTGGTACCTATTTATCTACTTGTATTTGCATGCTTTTGAACTGCAGGGTTGGCAGGAGCTGGAACAGAGCAACAGGAACTCACCCCATTGTGCAGATTTGAACTGACAACCTTTCAATCAACCAGCCCAGCAGCACAGCGGTTTAAACCACTGCACCACCTGCAGTCCCAAAAACATACATACATACTATTTTAAGCAGAAACATTATACATTATCCAAATTAAAATGTCAATTTAAACCCAAAAATTAAAATAGAGATGAATTTATACAATGAAAACCATTTTCTTGTATAGAAATAGCTTCCCCAACTATTATTATACAGCATGACAAAATCCAAGATGATAAAAAAGTTGATAGGATTTCCCCTTTAATAGAACTCCAGTGTTACCAAACTTTCTATGTCTGCAAGGTATGAGTAAGCAGTAAGACTGCTAAAGCAAAGTCAATTTGTCAAAAGGATACAAGCATAATCTGCACAGGAAAACATATTTTAACCCAGAGACTGTAAGTGAAAGAGGGACTGTATAGGTTTGCAAGATCATCCACCTTGAGGCCCGCTATAATCTAAATGTGTAGGAATGGTAGAGGAAAATGCTGTTAAGATGGTGATCACTCGACAAGTAGAAGAAACCATAAATTAAAGGGTTGTTCAAAGACAGGTACACAAGAGCTCATGTTCCAAGGGCATAGAGACCAATACCTCTGGAGGAATTCTTCTGGCATTGGATTAGAAGACTGTAACTACAGTTTGTGGCAATAACTTTAGTAAGGCTAAGCAGAAAGACTACCAACCTCTTTCTTTGAGCTCAAGTTATATCTAGCTTACAAGTGTTGAGCTGTTAATTTATTCTGGAGTTTTATCCACTCCAGTGCCGAGTTAGCAAACAATTTTGAACTGCAGATGCTGAAACAAGAAATAGTGGAATAATATGGCATAAGATTGGGGAACATCTGTGGCCAATCCAGATGTGTCAGATGAATGGAAATTATGCATTGTCTTTACAAATTCACTGATATTTGTCTAGCATATGTATGAGCCTAAATTAAAAATGTTGCTAAGCTATACTGCATTGCTAGTATAATCTGCAAATTGCTCGCAGATTATGGACAAATCCTCCCATGTTATATTTGACCCCATGGGTTTACATTTTTAAAACTAAACAAAAAGGGGAACAACCTGATGGATAAAAATGAGAAGATGTGAAGTGAGTCCAATATGCCTATAAGAGTCCTAAGGCCCAAAAGACAGGGACTTCTCAGTAATGGTCCCTCAATTATGAATTCTATTCCTACTAATTTATGTATGGAGCCTGTAGTACAAGCATTCAAATACATTTTAAAGACTCGTTTCAAGTCACTTTTTCTTAAGGTGCTGATGCTGGTGGTTCTAGGGAACTATGTCAATTTACTTTGGACTGCTTATGGTTTTTATGATATGGTCTGTGCTATATGTATTGGTTTTAAGATTTTTTTAATGTTCCGTGTTAAATAGTGTATTTTCCACTTGCTTTGGTATTTTATTATGCTTTTATGTATGTAACCTCCTTGTAAGTTATGATGTAAATATAAATAAATAATTTTTATAAAGGGCATCTGAATGCCACTCTTTTGCCTAAGGACTTCAGAATGGCACACAAGCATTTTTCCACAGTTTATCAAAATAATCCTATGAATCACAGTGACAACAATTGGCATCAAGTTGACCAAAGATTGAGTAGGGGTTTGGTCTACGCATTCCAGATCTAAACTTTGCCCACTATGCTCATACAACCATTAGGACTGCCTACTGGTTTAGAACCAAAGTAGAACATGCCAAGCCAATCACTGTCATGCAGACAGTGGATGTACAAAAATAGCCTGAGAGTTTTTGACTGAGTTTTGATGATACTCCCTCTTGCCTTTTTCCCTTCTTTCTCCCTGAAGTGTTTTCTGTATTTCTCAGGTTGCAGAAGAGGCCCCAAATGGGGTGGGAAATGGAGAACAGCAATTTTCAGAGAAATCCCAAATATATAAGCAGCATCAGTTAAACTCTGCCAATTAGTTTTGACTTCTCATTTCCTCACAGGTGAAATGCATCCAAAAGATTAAAAGATAGGGCTGCTACTGTTGTTCAGCTCTTTTAGCATTAGTTATTTGGTTTGATCCAGCTGTTACATGCAGGTATGAGGGGGATAGATGAGACTAGTTTGGCCTTAATATGTAAGAAAGAATATGCAAACCACACAAGTGCTTTATCTAGGATAGGCTGCAGGTGAGTGCAGAGGTCCAAATCCTACTAAAACAGTGGTTTTTGGAACTGATTATTAAGTCTATGCGCTCCCCCTGACCTAACACTGGATCTCACCATTCTCCTTGTCAGGAATATGAACCCAAGGTTCACTAACTCAGATACAGCTAGTGACCTCATGAGTCAGGCTTCCTTTCTTTTCTAAAGCAAATTGAAAGCCTGTGGTTACTTTTCCAATGCCACAAAGCTAGAGAGATAAGTCATTATGAGATATTCAAAAGTGTGCATTATTGTACCATTAACTTGTGCTTTCAGCTGTGGTATATTTCTATATGCCTGACAACACAGGGGCTCCCAAATAGTCTGCTAAGGTGTCCACCAGTGGAATCTGCCAAAAGGCTGCATTAGTATTCATGCTTCCCAGGCATTCCGCAAAAGGGTTTCCCAATGGAATGTGCCAGTATATTCTGTTCCTCAAGTCTAAGCATGTGAACAAATAACACATATGATCCAGATTCTTCTGGACTCTCTAAAGTTGAGAAAGAGGGCAAATAAGTTGCCACTAGGAACAAGGAACTGATGCCCTTTTGGAGGAAGAGTTCTGGGGTAATCACGGGGTGGGGGTGTCACAACAAGATTGATAAATAGCACAGTCCACTGGAGAAAAGAAGCAAGTTAGGAAGTATTCCATTCCAAGGCAGAATGAAAGAAAGGTCTGTGTGAACCACACATTTATTCTGTTTAGTAGGTGTTACAAAAGTACCTTGCGAGTTATCTGTGTGAGGTGTAATTCATCAGTTCTTTGGGCAAGAGGGGGTTGAGCCAGGGTCACAAAAATCAACCTAGCACCAGTGTCTGTATGGCAGAGCCTTGTGAGAAAGGAGCAGTGCTGAGTCCTAAAAGAATGGAAAAGTGAGGGCCAAACTAGATTTACGTACAGCTGCCTTTGGAGACTGCTATTGGGAGAAATAAGAGTGGAGGTTATTAACTATTTTCCCCTGGTGGCTGTTTTCCTGGTTAAAATTGCAGTTCCGCCATGCTTTCCCACCCCTGCCCACAGCTGATAAAAAGATATGAAGAGTTTCTGAGGGAGTGGAAATGCGCAATGAGGAAATGTATTATCATCTCCGACCTCTCCCTGGTCAAGGTCACAACTTCCCAATACAGTTTTTCATTCATTTAAAGTTGGTTTTGTATTTTTAAAGTCAGTACAGATTTACTCATAACTTCAGGTGATATCTAGTTCAAATGTGGTAGGTACCATTTGGAAGGGAACAATTTTTAGAAGAAAACTTGCCAAAGTAGAAAGCTTTAAGAGGTGTCTCCATATCCATGGCAACATTTTGTAAGGAAACTGAAGTCAAAGAAAACTATAAACTGTAGACTGGCCCATAGAGCAAAGTGGTGAAATTTGGTCTGAGTGTAAGAATAAGTTGGTTTAATTAAACTTGACCCTTAGATCTACGGCAGTTGAATTTTCTACATCTTCTCATGACATTTCTCATTACCACTGCTTAGTTATATGGCTTTGTTATTGTTTAGTAAGATATAGGAACACAGTATTTGGGCCATCCTACACAATCATAAATATATTTACATACTTGCAAAATCAGTGTAGGGATCACTCTAAAGTGAAGTCCAGAATGCATGTGCAATCTTAGATAAACCTTGTAAGCAAATGTTATTTGTTACAAACATGCCTTTAGAATCTAAATGAAGCCATGTTCTTTAGCTAAACAAGTCATCTATGTACAAAAATCAAAAGTGAAAAATCAACAACATTGTTTGCCATGATGATAAAGGAAGGGGCTGTTGCATATTCTAAAATATTTTAGCAACAATGATATTGCATCTGTGTATTTCATTCACTAAAAATAAATGCATTTGTACAATAATCTTTTTAAAGATTTCTGAGAATAAGTGGCACCATCCTCATTTTTAAAAATCTATCCATAGTACATATGCTAACCTACCGGAATCATCTTTCATGCAATTCCAGTTTATTAAAGAGGTTAAAAATTTACAAAACTCTGATGGGATATGGTTTTAATGCTTCATCACACTACCCATCATTTGCTTTTCAATCTAGATCAGAATGATCTTTCCTACTTCCCTGCAATCACCTACCTGCACAGCTAATATTTTCTGAAAATTCTCATGAGAGGCTGCCTGGAACTTTGCCAGCCCAGCTTGGCTATAGAGGGCTCGCAGTTTGAAGTACTCCACCAATACCTTGTGCAGCTTCCTTTGCAGCTGAGAGAGCTAAAAGAGGAAAGAGGAAAAAATAAGTCAGAGTGGGAGAGGAAATTAATGGCAGTGTTCAAGAAGAATGATGGAGGGAAATATAGAAAGCAGTCAATAGCCCATTCTGCACTGTACGGACCTGACAGGAATTTCACAGTCTCTTGATTTTTCAGCCCACTCATGTGCATTCATCAGAAACCAGTCACATCTGGCTGCCAGGATGGGGGGTTAATTTTCTCTAAATGCCTCAGCAGTTTTGTTCTAGCTGAGGCAAACTCTGTGACTGCAAAGCTGATGAGTAAAATATTTCTACTTCACCCAGTTTAACTCAAAACCGATAGCCTCGGGACATATTGAACCTTTCTTAAAAAAATAATCTTTTGAAGCATTTTGAATGGCACATCAGGTCAGGCCAAAGTTTAAAATGCAAGTTTAAGACTTTGATGGACACTGTGGCTCATTTTTCCTTGTAAAGCTTATCATAGCTTGGCAATGTGTGCTTCAGAGCATGACAAAACTAAAGAGAATTAACTTCACCATCAGCAGCTGAGGAAGAACAATAACAGGAAAGAAATTTCCAGATAGAAACTCCCTATTAATCTACCTAGCTATAACCATGTGACATGAAAGCATCTAACTGCACTAAATTGCAGTTAAGGCAGCAGCTGAAAGTGACACGACTGCCTATCTATCTATCTCTACCCATGCACACAGATGCAAACATTTCAATATGTGAGATGATCACAGATGTGGGCTTTCTGCCTCTAACAAACATTTCACTTTTGAAAGGAATATTAAAAACATTTGAAATTTCAGTGATTGCAGATATATTATTCACCAATTTCTGCTTTTTGTAGGATGGTGGGAATAAACCTCCCAACCTGACAAAGAAGATTTAAATGTAATTAAAAAGTCTGCCATTCACATTGGGGAAAAAATCCTCATGGTAAAACATGATCTTACTATTTAATACTCATTAAAAATAAATAAATTCAGAGGTACAATGGTGTAGTCATATCCATGGGCAAAAAGGGGCTTTGTTTTCACTTCTTTCAAACAACTTCCTATTCCATATGACAAACCACCTTTGAAATGGAGGAAAATTTCAAAAGCATTTTGCAACATGGTACAGGGATATGTCCAAAGGAGTGGGGATAAGAGAAAAATGTCACTGGACAAGTCTTTGGGTATGTCTAAAGTAGCTATTTGGATTCTGCCACTTTTTTATTTTTGGAGTAGAAAACATTAATAATCTGAAAAATAGCAAACTAACCAATTATATACAATTGCTTTAAAATACATTTTATTTAGTTACGCTAGAATAGTCTCACAAAACATATTGTCAGTATATGACCTTTCCTAGTATGGTTGTCAAACAGATTAAAACATTGCTATAATGCTCCTTTGGCACTCTTCCAGAAGACAGAGGTCAATACTACACGTGCATAAATAAAAAAAATATCTTTACATCAAGGAAAGAAACTGTTCTTTGGTGGCCAATGCTTCAAAATGCCTAGATCTTGTTTTCAAATGGTGTTCCTTAAAATGAGAATAAAATTCACTGAATAGCTGAGCAGCAATATAAAAATTAATGGCCTTTTCACATATAATCAACATTCAGTTTCCTTTGGCTCCAGTACAATTTTTTGGAAAATCTAAACAAAATTCACTGTCATGAAAATAGTCTTATTGCTGAATAATAATATTTCACCATTATATAGTATTTTTGACTGTACCATGCATTTCCAAATCATTATTTGGGTTTAGGCAATGAATAAGCAATGGATATTATAAAAGCTAATCAAATGAGAAAAGATATGAATAGACATCCTATTGATTGTCCAGTTTGGATGTAAAATCAGCTATGATCAAACCTGGTTTTGTGAAACTGTCACACTGAAGCTGAGCCAAATACAGCTGCATTTTCCAGCTTGAAAAATGTATTCATTTTTTGCATTCACTCCAGTTCTATGGCACCCCATAATCTAAAGGTTAGCTTTACTTGCTTCCATGGACAGGGTTCCAAAGAGCATCCTTTGTTCCACAGAAGCACTAGTGTACATCCAGTAGTATCCAGTGGCCCTACTGGGTGAGCAGGGTCAGGGCTGAAGTCTAACACATCTGAAGGGCACCAGCTTGATTGCTCAAGGGCTTCAAGGACCAGGGCCAAAGAACCATGAAATCAAGTTGTCTGCACAAGGATGATTTAGATTCGCATGTTTTTAATAGCACCCTCTGCCTCCCCCACCCCTGGCCCTGCCCGAGAGGCAGTCTGATAACTGAGGAGATTTTCAAAAGTAGTTTGTGATATGGCATTGGGGTCTGCTTTTCAAGGCAACATACATAGATAAACAAAGAAAATCCTACTGGGTGTGCAGATTCTTGGTTACCTAAGTGGCTCTTTGGATTTTAGGTCAGGGTCAAAGCTTATATTCCTCTAAACTTTCAATAACCTAGGTTAACAATATGTACGGTGCTTTACAACATTTCATAGGCAAAATGGGGGAGGGGGTGGGAAGAAGAACAAATTCCTGTCTTTAAAACATTCAGAACCAAAAGGGAGGGAAGAAGAGAAAAGGTAGGAAGGGATGAATGTGTGTAACCACAATTAGCATCCAGCTGGGAGTCAGTGAGGATTAAGGAGTTAAATCAAGACAGTGCAGAAAATGTGGCCTTTTCTGAATCTACCTTTCCTCTTCTGAATGATAATTAAACATATTGCACAATCCTACATGTGCCATATTAATTAAATAATGCAATGTGGTCCTGCATGCTAAGTAAATGATATAAACTGCATCAGTACTATTCATTGTTTCAACTCAAACACTGACAAGACAAGTCTACAGCTTTTGGCAATGCAAGAATGGCAGAATTATGAGCAAACTCTAGCTAATATTTATTGTTTAATGCTATGCTACTGCTCCAAGTGCATAGGTAAAAAGATATTTCTTTATTATCAAATCTGTTCCACCAAGGATTGTTGGTAAAAGATTTTATAGCTCATTTAAATAAAGCTCTTTAGTCAACAACCTGTATATACATAAGGAATGAATAAAAGCCTAAAGGAAGTAGTGAGGAACAAAAGCTTTTTAGTCCTTTTAACCTTAGTTCAGCTCTGAATACTTTGGAAAGTGTAGTAATAGTAAAAATGAATAAAACTAAATAATGAAAATAGTTTAAGACGCAGACATTCATTTTGTCATTACAGGATCCCTAAAATATTATAGAAAAAATCGAATAAAGTGATTTGCTGGCTTGTTAAGAAATTCACCAACTGCTGGTCTACATTTTAGGACAAAAATAAATATTTGTGACTGTATCTTAATTTTAACCAGTTGATTATGCTATACTCAAAGCAGAACTGACTATACTGTTGAGTTCATAGTAACATACTAGGAAGTATGGTGACAAACTTTGACTTGCCACATTTACAGCTTTAATACACTTCGTAGTTGAACATGCTATGGGCTTTAACCAATGTTAATCTTACTTAGAGTAGACCCATGGAAAGAAGGGCAATGCCAAAGAATGTTCAAACTACTGCACCATTGCACTCATTTCACATGCTAGCAAAGTTATGCTCAAAATCCTACAAGCTAGGCTCCAGCAATATGTGGACAAAGAACTACTAGAAGTATAGACAGGGTTTTGAAGAGGCAGAGGAACTAGAGATCAAATTGCCAACATATGCTGGATCATGGAGAAAGCTAGGGAGTTCCAGAAAAACATCTACTTCTGCTTCATTGACTGTGCTAAAGCCTTTGATTGTGTGGATCACAACAAATTGTGGCAAGTTCTTAAGAGATGGGAGTACCAGACCATCTTATTTGTCTCTTGAGAAACCTGTATGTGGGTCAAGAAGAACAGTGAGAACTGGACATGGAACCACTGATTGGTTCAAAATTGAG